GTTTGGCCTCAAATACCGGTCCGTCGGCACCGGTTTGGAGACAATGTGGGGCTATTTGTCGGTCTTATTATCCGATTATTTCAATGTTAAACAAATTAGCAAATCATTTGACCGCCTGTTCGCTGGTCTATGGCTTATCATATGTTTAATATTATTATCTCTATATTCGGCCAAACAATACGATATTTTGATTGCTGGCCAGACATATGACATGATTGACACCTACGATGACCTGCACACCAAACCCCAGTGGACACATCTAGATATACACGCTTGTAGTGTTGACTACTTTAATCAATTGATGTACGATATGATTGATCGCATTGAGATTGCTATGAAATTAGCCAAACGATTGATAGTTTGGGATCCGTTTGGTTTGTTGACGAATACTTCACAACTCCAGCGACTATATAGAGATGTGTTGGCCGGCAATGCCGTTATAATTGCGCCCAAACTTCTAAGTTATTATGTGTTAAGATATATCCAAATTACATATAACAATGCCTATCGAGAGGACATTGATTATCACATATCGACTGCGGATATAAGCAAAACATTTTACTTTTTGGCCGTAAATAATGAACGATTAAACCAGTCGTTTGTCAATCAATTTAATAAAATGTAAGTTTAATCTTTGAAGGATATGTTTGTTACTTATTTGTTTACGTATTAATTTTACTTTATTGTTTAGTGTGAAACGTATGCAACAAAACGGTGTCTATGAGTATAAAGTAAGCAAATCATTGAAACCTTTGGGTTTTGGTCCCGATATATACGACAAACCGATTGTCGATAAGACATATGATATCATATCCATTGAAGACATCGTTGGCGTCGTTTGGCTCTTAATTTCAGGCATAACTCTATCAACACTTTTACTGATCATTGAAATCATATATTCGTACAAAACATTTAAACAAATCATTTCTTCACTCAATTTCAATACATCAATGATTCTGATTATTCATTTCATACGTTTGTTTGCAAAGTGTAATAAAAATATTGTAGAGAGAAGATAAAATAGTATAAGTCATTAATAGCTATGGCCAAAAATCAGACGCGTCTGATTTTTTTAGAGTGACCAGGTTATTCCCTCAAAAAATCACATGAATTTATGTATTAATAATTTAATAGAAAATCAAATTGTTAATCAAATAGTAATCTTTTTGAGTTTAATTAACAAAATATTATATTAATTTAATTGTTTATTGTAAATAATATTAATATTAGTTTAATAGTGAAACACTTACTATCGCAACACTTAATTGATTAGTGCCTGGGTATATTTGTAAACATTTTTTTTAGTATTAACAATTTCTACACCGAAATGTTAAGATCAAAAATAATTTTCTACGTATCTATTCATTTTTCCAATAAATTATATATTATGGAATATACTTGCAATGTGTAGAAAAATGAAAGTGTAACATGCCTGTAATTTAAAATTTACCTGTTGTATTTTAGTGATTTAAACATCAAATTGTTTAAAATTAAATATAGAAAAAGCAATTTTTCAGATTTATTACATTTAAATTTTTAAAAATTAACATTATTTCTATGAAAGAATTCGGTTAATTGTGGGTTAAAATCGGTTGAAATTTTACATATTTAAAAAATAAAGATATTACATATCTGAGAAATCTATATAAGACAGCATTAAAGGAAACAGACGTTAAATAATTGATCAATAGATTATAAGAAATGTTCAATTTGAAATAAAACACATGCTTAAAGTTTATATG